CTGGCCATGCTGCTGCTGCTGCTGCTGCTGCTGCTCCTGCTGCAGTGCTCCCCTCTGATTTAGTAAGAAAATAATGCTGCGGCGCATGAAGTCTCTGCATACAGCCGGCAGCTGCTGCCGCAGCTGCAGCAGAGCCTTCTGCAGCAGACCCAATGCTAGCAGCAGCTCTAGTGCTGCACTTAGTGTTGCTGCTGCCTCGGCCTCCCTGCACACACGCTGAGCAGCAGCAGCAGCAGCAGCAGCAGCAGTGTGCATTAATAGACGAGAGAGAAGAATTCCTGATTAGCAACAGCAGCAGCAAACGCGACTTACTTCTTCCCATGCAAATCCTGCATTACGCCTGCGTCGCCTCTGCTGCTGCTGCTGCTGCAGATGCCGCTGCCGCTGCTGCTGCTGCTGCTGCTGTTGTTGCAGATCCTGTGGCTCCTCATCTAATCTATATGCGCCTGCCCATTCATGAGCGAACTGCCCATACACCTGAACAGATAACTCCTTAAAGAATGCAGCAGCAAAAGGAGGAGACACCCCAACCCACACGCTGTCTTGCTGCTGTTGCTGCGGCTCCGTTGCTGCTGCTGTTGCTGCAGCTGTTGCTGCAGCTGCTGCAGCTGCTGCAGCAGCAGCTGCTGCGGCGGCAGCATCATTATCAGTAGCAGGATGGCCTGCAGCAACGTCTGAAGAGTTATAAGCTGCCGCCGCTGCTGCTGCTGCTGGCGGCAGCAGCAGCAGCAGCAAACCAGAAGCAGGGTTGTATAATGACCGTTCCTCCAAGACTCCCGGCAGCAGTGTCCACCGCAGCGCATACCAGCCTGCTGCTGCTGCTGCTGCAGGCGTTGCTGCTGCAGCAGGCATTGCTGCTGCTGCTGCTGCTGCTGCCTCTGGGGGAAGGTAGCAGCAAGGTCGTGCGGCCATCAGGGTGCGTGACAACAGATTCTCCGCCCCTGCTGGATCTGTACCAGCACCAGCAGCAGCAGCAGCAGCAGCTGCTGCTGCTGCTGCTCCAGGTGTCTCCTCTCCTTGCTGCACCGGAAAGAAATACCTTAATGACTCAGACACAAACGCCGATTGTGTTGCTGTCTTTAGGCGCTGACGATCCTCTGTACAACAAGAAGCAGCAGCAGCAGCAGCAGCAGCAGCAGCAGCACCAGCACTTGAGACGCAGTAGACGTCACGCAGCAATAAGAGCCAAGCAGCAGCAGCCAAGCAGCAACAAAACCAGCAACAGCCAGGCAGCAGCAGCAACAGCAGCAGCAGCAGCAGGTGCATATTTACGTTCTGTTTGTGCCTGATATTGTTTTGCTGCTGGTATGCGCAGCAGATCTGCTGTCAGCAATTCATCAGCATTATGCAGCAGCAGCGCAGCAGTTCGCCATTCGCGCAGCTGCAGCAGCAGCGGCAGCGAGGAGCAAAGGGACCCTAAGGATTGGAGGGACTCCAGCTGTCTGTACAGTACACATTGCTGCTGACGCTCCCTGCAGCAGCAGCCGCAGCAGCAACAGCAACAGCAGCAGCAGCAGCAGAAGCGGCATACAATAAATGAAGATAAAGTCAAGCAGAAAGACGCAGCAACTGCACCAACAGCTGCAGGTGCTGCAGCAGCAGCAGCAACAGCAACAGCAGCAGCAGCAACTACGAACTTGGATAGTCTTAAGATCTTTAGGCCAAGACCCACACCCCGAGATCGAATCTGCTGCAAATCCTCCCTGCAGCAGCAGCAGAAGCAGCAACAGCAGCAGCAACAACAGCAGCAGCACCAACAGCAGCAGCAGCAGCAACAGGAGCAGCAGCAACAACACACAAAATAGCACCATAGACGTCTTCCTGCTGTCGCTGCTACTGGTACTGTTACTACTGGTACTAGTGCCGGTGCTGCTGCTTCTACTGCTGCTGCTGCTGCTGCTACTGCTGCTGCTGCTGCTGCTGTTAATTTACCTGAGTTTATGGCATGTATAGATAATTTGCTGCGCTTGCTGCTGCATGCGGTAAATATTTTGTATAGAAGAAGCAAAGAAAGAAAAAGGAGGAAAAAGAGACACTAAGCCGGACTCTACCTTATCTAACCAATCCGATAACTGCAACACAAACCCTAAACCCTAAACCCTAAACCCTAAACCCTAAACCCTAATCCTTAATCCTCATAAACCCTAAAACCTCATAAATCCTCATAAACCCTAATAAACCCTAAACCCTCATACACAGTAAACCCTCATAAACCCTAAACAATAAACCCTCATAAACCCTACTCACGACTCCACCACCTTGTCCTGCTAGTCTGTCAGCTACCGTAAACCCTAAACCCTAAACCCTAAACCCTATTTTTTTTTTTTACTTTTTCTAGTTGGTTAGGCATATCTTGAGGGTCCATAGAAAGGAATTCGGAGACATCGAAGGAGGACTCAAAGAAAGTTGCTGGTATCTCCTGCTGCAGTTGCTGCAGTTGCTGCTGCTGCTGCTGCTGCAGCAACTCGCTCTGGTGCTGCTGCTTCTCTTTCTCCTCTGGAGGTAACGAAGAAGACACGCTGCTGCTAGCCAGCAGCAAATCAAAGGCAGGATTGCTGCGCCTGCACCTGCTGCTGCTGCTGCTGCTGCTGCTCTTGCTGCAGTTGCGTTCGAAGCGAACAAGATCCTGAGCAGCAGCAACAGCAGCAACAAGAACAACAGCAGCAGCAGATAGGCAGCAGCAGTCTGGTACTGCTGCAGTAACACTCGATTTAGGGTTTATAAGGGTTTAGGGTTTACGAGGGTTTAGGGTTTAGGGTTTAGGAGTGCAGCAGCTAACCTCCCCTAAAGAAGCAAAGAATGGCTCGAACTCCTCCTCTGTCCTGTCGCGCTGCTGCTCCTCTTGCTGCTGCTGCTGCTGCTGCTCGCTACCCAGCAGCAGCGGCAAGAAGCTGCTGCTGCCGTCTCCTGTTGCAGTACTGCTGCTGCTGCTGCCTACAGAAAAACTCCCAAAAAGGCCTCCGCTCTGCTGCTGCTGCTGCTGCACACCCACCAGCACACCACACCATTCAAAAACCCTAAACCCTAAACCCTAAACCCTAAACGCCAAACCCTAAACCCTAAACCCTAAACCCTACCTGTAGGCTATAAATAACATTAACAACAGCGCTAATGTTTTGCGCTTTCTCTACTTCTTTTAGATTTCTTTGTTGTGTCTCGGGAGACAGGACCTCAGATATATCTATTATGTCTCTTGCTGCTGCTGCTGCTGCTGCTGTTGCTGCTGATGCTGCTGCTGCTGCTGGTGCTGCTGCTGCAGAAGAGTGCTTCCTTGGTATGTTGTCTTCTGAGTCTTGCAAAGATACAACAGGAGAAGATAAGGAATGACGTCCTCTTCCTGCTGCTCCTGCTGCTGTTGTTGCTGCTGCTGCTGCTCCTGATGGAGACAGCGGAGGGACAGATCTACGCATCCTGTGTTTGCTCTTACCACCACCAGCAGCAGCAGCAACAGGAGTTGCTGCTGCTGCTGCTGCTGCTGCCTCAATAGGAAGTATTCTATAGGGGGTAGAGGCATGGTCAAGCACCACCACGGGGCCTAGCTCCCTGCTGCTGCTGCTGCTGCATGTGCTGCTGGTGCCGCTGCTGTTGCTGCTCAGTGTCGTGCTAGGGCTCCCGCTGCTGTTGCTGCTGCTGCTGCTGTTGCTGCTGCTGTTCTTCTCCTTGCTGAGGAAAGAGAAGGCAGATCTCCCTGCTGCCGGCACTTGCAGCTGATGCAAAACAGGCTGCTGCACCTGCTGCTGCTGTTGCTGCTGCTGCTGCTGCAGCGGGTGTTGGTTCTCGGCCACCATGGGCTGTAGGCGACCCTACTGCGGCCAGGCATGCTGCGCCTGCTGCTGCGCCTGGTGTTGCTGCTGTTGCTGTTGCTGCTGCAGCTGCCGTCGTTTTGTCACAGCACAGGCAGCTGCTGCACGCAATTCTATTGGAAGGCGCGTTGTTGCTGCTGCAGCAGCAGCCGCTGCTGCAGCGTGACTGTTTGCTGCTGCTGTCTTGCTTGCTTCTATGACGGGTTAGGATGTTAGTAGCGATCTGGGTGTACTGGGTCAGCAGCAGCAGCAACAGCAGCAGCAGCAGCAGCAGTTGTTGCGCTGCTGCTGCTGCTTATGTGTTGAGTATAGGGAAGTGTGCTGCTGCTAGATATAAAGAAAAGAGCAGCAAGAAGAATACAGCAGAGGTGTCAAGACACTAGCGAAACAATGCCGTGCTCTTGCTGCTGCCGACCCTGTTGCTGCTGCTGCTGCTGCTGTTGCTGTTGCTGCTGTTGCTGCTGGTGTCGCTGCTGCTGTTGTTGCTAACTGCTAGCTATCTTCGTCGTTATTTTACTCTATATATTATATTTTACTAAAATATGCAGCAGCATATCCGTTTGCATGCGCATATTCGTCGCTGCTGCTGCTGCTGCTGCATCGCGACTGCAGCAGCAGCAGCTACTGCTGTTGCTTGAGTCGCCTTGAGTGCTGCTGCTGCTGGCTGCAGCCACAGCAGCAGCAGCTGCGGCTGCATGCAGCAGCAGCAGCAACAGAGAGATGTGGATCCTTCATTGCCTTTATGGTAAAGTTGTTTGTCACATATAAACAAACGCAGGGAAAAAGGAATTGAGCAGCAGCAGCAGCAGCAGCTGCAGCAGCAGCAGTTGCTCCCGCTCCCGCAAATACCCGCAGCAGCAACCCTGTACGCACAGTACTAGTACTAATAGTAGCAGCTGCAGCAGCAGCAGCAGCAGCAGCAGCTACAGTAGCACTTGCATCTTGCCTCTTTTCTCTTTATATTCCTTATATAGGGCCTCTTAGCTCCTTATCTTGTCTGGCATACAAGCACTTACCTTGCTGCTCCTGCTGCTGCTGCTGCTGCAGCCGCTGTTGTTGCTGATGCTGCTGCGCCTGCCTATTAACAGCAAACAATCATCGTTTTGTCCATAACTAAATATAATTATGTTTTTATTCTTGCTGCTCTAAACCTATACAAGCATACAAACAGCAGCAACCCCAACAGCAGCAGCAGCAGCAGCAGCAACAGCAGCAGCAGCAACAGCAGCAACAGCAGCAGCAGCAACAGCAGCCGCAGGAGGTCCTGTCCTTTCGATTCTTTTTGTATGGCCTCTAGGTAGCCCGTCTTAGGCTCCACAACAGCAGCAGCAGCAGCAGCACCATCAGCAACTGTTGAAGAAGCAACAGCTGCAGCAGCGACAAGGAGCGCTGCAGCAGCAGCAGCAACAGGAAGCAGCAGTAAGCAGTAGCAACAGCAGCAGGAAGTACAGCCATGGCGGCGTCAACCTGCAAAGTATTCGTGGGGCGTCTGCCCCACACCCTAACGGAGGTAAGCCCACTACGATATCCAACAGCAGCAACAGCAGCAACAGCAGCAGCAGCACGTGCTGCTGTTGTTGCTGCTGCTGTTGCTGCTGCTGCTGTCTACTTTCTTGTAGCTGCTGCGTTTGGTGGTATTGCTGTTGTTGCATCCTGTAGGGAATTGTTTCTGTTGCTGCTGTGCATACACTGTGTCTGCTGCTGCTGCTGCTGCTGCTGCAATATATATACATTAGCAGCAGCAGCAGCAGCAGCAGCCTTATGGTGCATCTGCTGCAGCATATCTTAGTGCAATTTTCTCCATTTTTGCTGTTTTTTTTTTTGCTGTTGCCCTCCTCCTGCTAATCTTGCTGCTGTTGGTATTGCTGCTGCTATTGCTGCTGCTGCTGCTGCTGCTGCTGCTGCTGCTGCTGCAGGATGCATTACGTGCAAAGATGCAGGAGTACGGGCACGTGTCTTCGTTATTCTATATGGCGGATCAGCTGCAGCAGCAAACAGGTTGGGCATTTGTTACTTTTTCTTCGCCACAAGAAGCACAACAAGCTGTACAGGCTATTGATGGTACTCTTACCTTTGAGGTCTGTTCCTGCTGCTCCTGCTGCAGCAGCTGCTGCTGCTGCTGCTGCTGTTGGTGGTGCTGGTGCTGCTGCTGCTGCTGCTGTTTTTGTTGCTGATGATGATGATGGGTGTGGTTGCTGATGTTGTGTTGGTTGTGCTGCTGCTGCTGCTGCTGCTGTTGGTGGTGGTGGTGGTGCTGCTGCTGCTGCTGTGTGTCTTTTCGGTGTATTGCTGCTGTTCGTGTTTGTGCTGCTGCTGCTGGTGTTGCTGCTGCTGTTGCTCGTGTAGTGGCCGTATTGGGCCTTTTTGTGTTGTTGCTTCTTGCTGCTGCTGCTGCTGCTGTTGCCTCAGCTGCTGCTACGTCAGCTCTCCGCCCCTATCTCTAGGCCTCGCCTGTTCGTAGCCGTATCTTGCTGCTGCTGCTGCTGTGCTGCTGCTGCTGCTGTTGCTCCTCATCCTTCTCTTGCTGCTGCATGCGGTGCTGCTGCTCCTATGGGCACTTGTGCTGCTCTGCTGCTGCTGCACCTGCTGCAACAACAGCAGCTTGTCTCCAGTGGCGCAGAGTCTGCCCGTTGCTGTCCGATCTTTATTGCTGCTTTTGCTGCTGTTGCTGCTGCTGCTGCTGCTGCTGCTGCTGCTGCAGGGGTTTGAGAGTCCTGCTGAGTGCCGCATGGCTAATCAGAAACCAAGTACTGCAGCAGCAAAAAAAGAAGCAGAAAAAAAAGATGCTGCTAATGCCGGTAAACCCTAAACCCTTATAAACCCTAAACCCTTATAAACCCTAAACCCTCATAAACCCTAAACCCTTATAAACCCTAAACCCTCATTAGCCCTAAACCCTCATTAACCCTAAACCCTCATAAACCCTAAACCCTCATTGGCTTCTACCGCTGTAGCACCCGACCCAATTGCTGCTGTTGCTGCTGCTGCTGCTGCTGTTGCTGCTGCTGCTGCTGCAGCACCAGGCCCTAATAGTCCTTGGCAGCAATATTTTACTCATGATGGTCATGCGTATTATTACAATTCACAGACAGGTAACAAAAGGAGACACTTTTTGTCTCCTTTTTGTCTCCTTTTGTCCCCTTTTCTTCTCCTTTTTGTCTCCCTTTGTATCCTTTTCTTTTTGTCTCTCCCTTTGTCTCCTTTTCTCCTTCTTTTTGTCTCCTTTTCTTCTCCTGTTTGTCTCCTCCTCTCACCAGTGTCCCCACGCTGCTGCTGCTGCTGCTGCTGCTGCTGCTGCATGTGCTGCTGTTGCTGTTTTGTTTTTTTTTGCTGCAGGGGTAACGCAATGGGAGCGTCCAGCGGACTTAGACAAGCCTCAACCATCTGCTGCTGCAGCAGCTGCAGCAGCAGCAGCAGCAGCAGCAGCAGCAGCAAGAGCAGCAGGATCAAGGGAGACAGGGTCCCAATTTGGTCCTCCAGGCGCAAATCTTTTTGTCTTTCATATCCCTAGTGATTGGAATGACGTCGATCTTATACAAGTTTGTCTCCTTTTTTTTTTGTCTCCTTTTTTGTCCCTTTTTGTCCCTTTTTTATACCTTCTTTGTTCTTTTTATTACCTTTTATCTTATTCTCCTCTTTTTTTTTATTGTTTTTTGTCTTTTTTATTCTTTTTTATTCTTTTTTATTATCTTTTTGTGTTATTTTATCATAAAAAGAAGAAAAGGAGACACAATGCATGCATATTGTATATCTATCAATATCTCTCCTCTTTCTTCATCTACTGCTGCTGCTGCTGTTGCTGTTGCTGCTGCTGCTGCTGCTGCTGCTGCTGCTGCTGCTGCTGCAGCACTTCCAACACTTTGGAGACATTGTCTCCGCTCGTATCCAAAGAGACGTTGAAGGAAGAAGTCGCGGATTTGGATTTGTTAGCTTTTCTGATCAGACCTCGGTAACCTGCTGCTGCTGCTGCTGCTGCTGCTGCTACTGCTGCTGCTCTTGCTGCTGCTGCTGCTGCTGTTGTTGTTGTTGTTGTTGCAGGTGGTGGTGGTGGGGGTGCAGCTGTTGCTGCAGGCGGTAGGGTTGCTGCAGAGGGTTTATTTGCTGCTGCTGTTGTAGGATCTGTGCTTCTTGTGGGGTATACATATGTCTTATATCTGCTGCTGCTGCTGCTGCTGCTGCTGCTGCAGGCCGTGCATGCAATTCGTGGCATGCATGGCTTTTTAGTTGGAGGGAAACATCTAAAGGTCCAACTTAAGAAAGGAGAAGATTTACGTCTTACCCCTGGTTAGTATACACTGTCTCCTTTTTGTCTCCTTTTTTTTTTGTCTCCTTTTTTGTCTCCTTTTTGTCTCCTTTTTGTCTCCTTTTTTGTCTCCTTTTTGTCTCTCTTTTCCTCTCCTTATTACCTATATGGTGTCTCCTTTTGTCTCCTTTTTGTGTCTTTGTTCCTTTCTCTACTACCTCTAGATGTCTCCTTTTGTCTCCTTCTCCCCTGTCTCTTTTTATATCCCTATATATATTATCCTTCTCGTTGCTGCTACTGCTGCTGTTGCTGCAATTGCTGCTGCTGCTGCTGTCTCCTTGTGTCTCCTTTTTCTTATGCTGCAGCACTAAAGGCTTTGATGCCTGTCTCTCATCAGCCAGGAGGAGCTTTCTATGGCGGAGGCCCCTCTGTTGGTCCCTCTGCCTCGCGATTTACTCCTTATTAATTAAATAATTAATTAATTAATTAATTAAATTAATTAATTAAATTAATTAATTTAATTAATTAGTTGATGTCTTCTTGTTATCCTCTATTTCTTTTTATTTCCCCTTTTTCTTCATGTGTTTATATTGTGTCCTTTTGTTCCTTTATTGGGGTGTATAAGTGTCTCCTTTTCTATAAAAAGGAGACACTTATACACCCCAATTACTTACATGCATGCATGCATCTCCTTACACCTCTAAGTCTTTGGCTAAGTGCGCTGTATCTGCTGCTACTGCTGCAGCAGCAGTAGCTCCTGCTACTGCTGCAGCAGCAGTAGCTCCTGCTACTGCTGCAGCAGCAGTAGCTCCTGCTGCTGCTGCTGTTGCTGCTGACATTGAGGACCTGTATGGCATTCATAGGTGAACAACGAAGGATGCATAAGAATGCATGCCTTCTTTACGAGCTGCAGCAGCAGCAGCAGCAGCAACATTAGCTGCAGCAGCAATAATAGCTGCTGCTGCAGCAAGAGTTTCAGAAACAGCAGCAGCAGCAACAGCTGCTGCTGCAGCAACAGCTTCAGCAACAGCTGCAGCAGCAATACCTGCTGCAGCGATAACATTTTGCTGCAGCAATAACAGTTGCTGCAGCACAAAACAGCTGTAGCAGCAACAGCAGCAGGAGCTGCTGCTGCTGCTGCAGCTGCAGCAAACGGCGTAGCATTGAGGACTCTTTATGAGTATAGCCAACGCAGATGATGCCTTATATAAGAGACAACATACAAAAGGAGACAAAAAAGGAGACACATAAAAAAGGAGACAAAAAAGGAGACAAAAAAGGAGACAAAAGGAGACACATAAAAAGGAGATAAAAGGAGACACATAAATAGGAGACAGGAGGAGACACATAAATAGGAAAGAAAAGGAGACACATTAATAGGAGGCAAAAGGAGACACATAAATAGGAGACAGGAGGAGACACATAAATAAATAGGAGACAGAAAGAGACACGTACAGGAGACAAAAGGAGACACATAAATAGGAGGCAAAAGGAGACACATAAAAAGGAGACAGAAGGAGACACATTAGAGGGGAGGGCATTAGAGCGTAAATAGGGGACAAAAGGAGACAGGAGGGGACACACAAATAGGAGACAAAAGGAGACACATAAATAGGAGACAAAAGGAGACATGTAATCTGTCTCTTTAGGGGCATATAAACCCTAAACCCTAAACCCTAAAAAAGGGTTTTATAGGATAGTTAGTGTCTCCTACATTTTTGTCTCTATAGAGAGAGGGAGGCCAATAACACCAACAGCATTAGGGTCTAGGGTTTACGAGGGTTTAGGGTTTGAGGAGAAGAGTTGTCCCCTCTTATTAACTGCTGTTGCTGTTTGTATTGTTGCTACATGTGAGTGCAGCAGCAGCAGCAACAGCAATAACAAGATCGCTAGCAGCAGCAGCAGCAGGCATAACAAGAGCAGCAACAGCAGCAGCAGCAGCAGCAGGGGCATCTGCACCCGCTGCTGCAGTAGGATAGCATGAATGGCAGCAATTGTTAATAGGAACATCCCTGCCGCTGCTGCTGTTGCTGCTACTATTGCTGCTGCTGCTGCTGCTACTGTTGCTGCAGGAATTGTTTTGGCCTGGGTAGTCGCAGCAGCAGCAGCAGCTACTGCTGCTGCTGCTGCTGCTGCTGCATTGTCTGTCTCAGCAGCAGGTCTGCCTAGACCTGCTTCTTGTGTATATATCTATAGTGTCTCCTTTATGTCTGCATATATAAAGTGTCTCCTTTTGTGTCTTTATAACTGTCTCCTTACTTCGGGTGTATAGGCAGCTACCTGTCTCCTTTATTAAATAAATATATTAATTAAACAAAAAAGTGTCTCCTTTCTCCCTTTAATTAAACATTTTATTATATTTTAGCTAGCTGTTGTTGCTGCTGCTGCTGCTGCTGCAGCAGCAGCAGAAGCTCACGCTGCAGCAACTGTAATGACGCTGCAGCAACTGCAGCAACAGCAGCAACGGTAAAGCAGCAAGAAGCAAAACCCTAAACCCTTATTTTATCATATACAATATTGTCTTCTATATAAAGAAAATTCTTCTTAACTCTAAACCCTAAACCCTAAACCCTAAACCCTAAACCCTCTTGTAGTGAGGCACATGCTGATTGCAGCAGCCCCGATGCTCAGCCCCACAAAATCTAATCTTCTTCCTGTCTAGGGTTTAGGGTTTAGGGTTTAGGGTTAATTTAAAAGGTTTTAGGGTTTAGGGTTTGCAGCTGTAGCTGCATTTATACGCTACTTTATTATCTACACGACGAAGCCCGCAGACCGCCCCTACAGGGTTTAGGGTTTAGGGTTTAGGGTTTAGGGTTTAGGGTTTAGGGTTTGTTCTTCTATAAACCCTTTTCCTTATTGAAGGTAGAAGTCGCCATCTTCTGCCTCTATCCTAAGTGTACTCAACCCTAACTTAGGGTTTGTAGCAGATGCCCCTAGGGTTTAGGGTTTAGGGTTTAGGGTTTAGGGTTTAGGAAAATGTCTCAGGGTTTACCACCAGCAGTCCGACGGGCTGCATGCAGAGCCTTTAGGGACTCAAGCATGGGGTCTCATGGTTTGCTGCTGCAGCAGCTGCTGCAGCAGCCGTTGCTGCAGCAATCCGCTGTACAGCAGCAGCTTATGCGGCAGCGGCGAGTGCTGCAGCAGCCATTGCTGCAGCAGCTGCTGTTGCTGCAGCAGCAGCAGCAGCAGCAGCAGCATTGCCAGCAGAGGCTACTAGCCCATCCTTCCCGTGCTGCTGGCTTACCCCGTACCTTCAGCACAACCAGCAGCAGCAGCAGCAGCAGCAGCAGCCACAGTGGTGGTGCTGGTAGGCAGCAGAAGCAGGATCAGCAGCAGACGGGTCGTCATACGCACCGCCACAACAGCAGCAGCAGCAGAAGCAGCAACAGCAGCAGCAGCAGCAGCGGCAGCAGCAGCAGCTTTATACGTATGGTACTAAACCAGGTGCAGCAAGACCTGCATGCAAACCCTGAGCTGCAGCGAGCAGTAGATGAGCTAAGGGCCTCTGCGCTGTCTAGACAGACCCAATCAGTAGGGAGTAGGCTGCAGGGAGCAGCAGCAGCAGCAGCAGCAGCAGCAACAGAAGCTGCAGCAGCAGCAGCAAGTACAACACAGCAGCACACCGGACGCGTGCTGCAGCACCTCCGCAGCGTGCAGCAGCAAGTAGCAGCAAAACAGCAGCAACTTAAGGAAATTGCTGCTAAGAATGCTGCATGCAGAGCTATAGGGAGACACAGCAGCAAACTATTTAGTGGTGTTTCTGCTGCTGCTGCTGCGCTGCAGCAGCTAGCAGCAAAAGCAGCAAACTTATTTACTGAGGAACCTGTTGCTAAGCAAAAAGCTGCACAATGGAGACAGCATATGGCTATAAGACGCTACAAGCAGCAGCAGCAGCAGCAGCAGCAGCAGCAGCAGATGGCTGCAGCCACCAAGGAGGAACATGACCAGCAGCAACAGCAGCAGCAGCAACAGCAGCAGCAACAGCAGCAGGAGGAGGAGACAGAGGAAGAAAAAAAGGAGACAGCATTAGTCCTATCTAACGAGACAGCCTGGGATCGATTTGGATCCCGTCTAAGAGACATGCCCTTCTTACAAAACTTCTTTGGTAAGCAGCAGCAGCAGCAGCAGCAGCAGCAGCAGCAACAGAACCAGGAGCAGTAGTAGAAACAGCAGCAGCAGCAGCAACAGAACCAGGAGCAGTAGTAGAAACAGCAGCAGCAGCAGCAGCAGCAGCAGCAATAGGAGCAGCAGACCCCTGCTACACCTATAAAGGATCCGCAGTATAGTGCAGCAAACGAGCTGCAGCAGAAGTTATTACACCAGCAGCAACAGCAGCAGCAGCAGCAGGAACAGCAGCAGCAGCAGCAGGAACAGCAGCAGCAGCAGCAGGAACAGCAGCAGCAGCAGCAGGAAAAAATATGTGTGTCTATTTGCATGCAGAGAATCCATTAGTTGGTAATTTATTTAAGGAGACAGAAATTGCTGCTGCTATAAGAGAGATGAAGACCATCGATCCTTCTTTTAGGTGTCTCCTTTTATACACCAATTCTCTCCTTTTTTTTTGTCTCTTTTTTTTTGTCTCCTTTTTTTTTGTCTCCTTTTTTTTTTGTCTCCTCTTTTAGGTGTCTCCTTTTATACACCAATTCTCTCCTATTTTTTGTCTCCTTTTTTTTGTCTCCTTTTTTATTTTTTTCTTTGTCTCCTTTTTTTTGTCCCCTCTTTTAGGTGTCTCCTTTTATACACCAATTCTCTCCTCGCTTTTTGCCTCCTTTTTTCTTTGTCTCCTTTTTTATTGTCTCCTTGTTTTTATTATTATAGTCTCCCTTTTTTATTTTTGTCTCCTTTTTTATTGTCTCCTTTTTTATTGTCTCCTTTTTAATTATCTTCCTTGCTAATTCTCTTCTGCTGCTGTTGCTGTTGCTGCTTCTGTTGGTGCTGCATTTGCTGCTGTGCTGTTTCTGTTGCTGTTGCTGTTGCTGCTGCTGCTGCTGCTGTTCCTGCTGCTGCTGCTATGCTTCATGCCCTTGCCACATCTACGACCCCCAACCAATCCATACCTCATTGCTGCTACTGCTGTTGCTGCTGCTGCTGCTGCTGCTGCTGCTGCTGCTGCAGGTTATCGGAGTTACACGAGCTAGTACAGAGTGTAATTGCTGAGCAAATTGTTAGTGCATACTTAACAGCTGATGAGGAGACACTTAGACTGGTAAACAAAACTGTCTCCTTTTTTATATTACTGTCTCCTTTGTTATTGTTTTTTTTTTTGTCTCCTTTTCTTTATTGTCTCCTTTTTTTATTGTCTCCTTTTTTATTATTGTCTCCTTTTTTTTATTGTCTCCTTTTTTATTGTCTCCTTTTTTTTTGTTGTCTCCTGTCTCTGTATATGTCTCCTTTTGTCTCTACCTCTTTTCCTCCTTATCTCTTCCTTTATCTGTCTCCTTTTGTATGTCTCCTTTCTTGTGTCTCCTCCCTATTTTATGTATCTCTTCCTCTAAATTGTTTCCTCGTATCTCCTTTTATATTTATTTGTTGCTGCTGCTGTTGCTGCTGCTGCTGCTGCTGCTGCTGCTGCTGCTGCTGTTGCTGTTGCTGCTGCTGCAGCATTGTGGTGAGGCAGCATTTGCTGCATTAAAGGCATCAATAGATGATAGAAGGAGACAACAATTACAATTAGATCCCTCTATCCTTCATCTTGCACAAGTTGAGCTTGTTGGTAAATATATTTATTCCTCCTCCTCCTCCTGCTGCTGCTGCTACTGCTGTTGCTGCTGCTGCTGCTGTTGCTGCTGCTGCTGCTGATGAGAGTATCGTGTCTAACATCATGAATCTGCTGCTGCTGCTGTTGCTGCTGCTGCTGCTGTTGCTGCTGCTGCTGCTGATGTGAGTATCGTGTCTAACATCATGAATCTGCTGCTGCTGCTGCTCTTCCTGCTGCTGTTCCTTTTCCTGTTTCATTTCTTGCTGCACTTGCTGTTTTTCTTGCTTTATTTGCTGCATTTGCTGTTGATGTTGCTGCATTTGCTGCATTTGCTGCTGTTGCTGCTGCTGCTGCTGCTGCTGCTGCAGGTGCTCGTCGTAGTTCAATAGAATCAGGAGACAGTCCCTGGTTTATTTATACCTTTGAGACCCAACAGATAAATTGCCTAAGATGTTTATTAACAAATAAAATAAAAAAAGGAAGAAATGATGATATAAGAAAAATTATCTACTCTTTTGCATTAGCTAAACATCCTAAACCCTATACACCTGGATTATTCTATCCATGGATTGTAAGTATACTTATTTATTTTATTTATTTTTATTATTTATTTTATTTATTTATTTATTTATTAACTTTTTTTTTTTTTTTTTTTTTTTTTTTTTTTTTTTTTTTTTTTTTTTTTTTTTTTTTTTTTTTTTTTTTTAGCCTTTTTCTTTGGCCTTATTGTGTCTTTTTGTGTTTTTTGTCTCTTTTCTCTTCTTCTTCTGTCCCTTCTTCTGTCTCTTATTGCCTTTTTATATATTATTTACCCAGCTTGCTGCTGTTGCTGTTGCTGTTGCTGCTGCTGCGCTGCAGGTCAAGGAGATAGCCATTGTAGGGAATGAGCCCGTTTGGTAAACACTAAACCCTAAACCCTAAACCCTAAACCCTAAGATGCATGCAGCGCGCATACCACCAGCTGCAGCAACAGCAACAGCACCGACACAGCATCTGCTGCTGCAGCAACTGCAGCAACTGCAGCAGCAGCAGCAGCAGCAGCGGCATTATAAAGTTATTATAGACAGCCGTTAGCTAATTAAGTAGATGTCTCTTTTTTCTTCTTTTTTTTCTTCTTTTTTTATTTTAGTACAAACATACACTGTTTTATTATTTTATTATATATACTCTATTATTATTCTTATTTACTTATTTACTTATTTACTTATTTACTTATTTATTAAATAATAATAATAATAATAATAATAATAATAATA